TAGCCAAGCGGATTATTCGAAACCTCAGCCTAGAGACAGAGTCTGGAGATGGATGATGGGAGCTTACTGCTTCAGAGAAGTATTCAGTACCCCAAGAATATGTCTCCTCCTCTACCTTCTCTACCCCGAGAGGCTCCTCCTCTCTGAAGACTGCTACCCCATCTCTCAATTGTGAGCGCCCTGCACTGGTGAGGAACTACCAGGGCTTCTTCCACATTGTCTTGCGAATGTGGCCACTGACAACTTTGGTTTTCTTTTCTATAATTTCTACTTGACAAGTAATATTCATTATGGGCCCAAGGCATATCTCCTCTAGCAAACAGGCTCTTACGAACCCCTCTGAGATGCTTTTCTAGTTTTCATTTTTTCCCACCTAATTTCTTTTGTATTATCATGGACTGACTGCTAATTGTATATGCCAGATACAGCATTAGTTCATCATTCGTTCATTTAATATCCACAATACTCATTTAGTCATCAAATATTCATTTAAACATCTATGTTTCAAAAACTGCACTTTATTACAGGGATATAAGGGTTAAAAATGACAGATCTGGGGCTCTCCCTGGAGGCACAAGGGGTTAAAGCACTGTATTATGAAGTTCTCCAAAGCCGCTGCAGCACAAATTCGATCCCCTGCCAGGGAGCTCACCCACATGGTGTGATAGACCTCTTCTGACCCACCTGCTGCTCCCCTCAGCAGTGTACTTCATCCACCTGCCTGTTCTGCTCCCCACTCTGTCTCTGCTGAATCCTCTCACCCACCACACCTCTGGCCTGTACCCCAGTTCTGTAAGCATAAATGCATAAATCTTTAAAAAAAATTACAGATTTGTTCTCTTGAATTTACAAGGGAGTTAGAAGTTAACCAAATAGCTCTAAATATTATATATAGTTATATATTAACCAAATAACAATGGCTGAATTTATGAAGGATGTTGATTAGGCAACAAAGCAGAGTATATAAATAATATATAACTATATACATATATACATTACATGTATATCTATGTGTATGTGTATATAATATATGTGTTCTATGTACACTATACACATACAGTACACATGCACTATAAACATATAGTACCATGTACTATACAGCATATACACTCTATATACATATAGTACTACATAGTATTATATGTACTGTATACCTTATATATGCACACATACACATAGTCAATAAATGCTTGGAAGGAAAGAAACACAGCAGCATGGAAGTATATAATAGGATTCCTAACTGGATTGGAGGTATCAGGAAAGGCTGTATCAAGGAAGGGAATCTGAGATATAGTGGGCATAATAATCACCTGGAAGAGTAAAGCACTCATTGTGATGTATTTGTGAGACAGTGGTGGTGAATGGACAGGAGAATGGGAGTGGGGAGCAGACTATGGGAGGAAAAATCCCTTGATTGGCGCTGGTGTCATGCTTTTAGGGAAGGAGAGAGGCCAATGTTGATGGAGCAGAGAGTGAGTACGCAGTGAGGTCACCAAGAATGAAGTCCCATAAATACTCTGATCTGTATTCAAAAGTAGTGGGAGAACATTGGAAAGTTTTAAATAAAGATATGTATATCATAGTAGACATAAAGTAGACATAAAATTTATCTTCTTTTACAAGGGAAGAAGCAGAGACTCCAATGACTTATGTATGAGGTTTTCTGGCCTTCATAGGGTGTCCCACAACTAGTGATCACCTTGGCTAGATCTTAAACCAAGGTTGAGAAAATGCCCACAATTTTTATTCTAAAAGAAAATCAACATTCCATTCAGTGAATCCATGTTATTCTGCTCTTTACCTGTCTTATTTCTGACAACTGAAAAAACACCTGCTTTTGGAGCATGAATAGCACTGAGTGGAACTAACATTATTAAGCTCCTCCTATGGACCTGATATTGTTATCTTATTTAATCACAGTCATCTTATAGGACCTAATATTTTCAAGACAAAAAGGCCAAGAGTTCAGAAAGTTACATACTATTTCCTAGTAGTAGAAAAGAGAGGCGTTCGGTTGTGAATCTAGTCTACCTGACAGGAAAGTTTAGACATTCCCAGTACACTGTGCTGTCATATTAGTGTCTTTTCCACTCTTGGAATAGAGGCAGGAGAGGAGTGGGGGGGGCAGTTAGAAGCAGAGGAGGAGGAGGAAGAGGAGGAAGGACACAGTAGATTTCAGGCCAAGAGGAGCAGTAAGAGTTGCACACTGAAGTATGGTTTGGTGAATGCCTTGAAGCCTGGGCATGTGGTGATGTCACTGGCCCTAAGGAGCAGTTTTGTGGGGGAGTGGAAAGAGCTGCTGGGCACCATCCACTCCTAGTACAGCGGGGAGGGATGAGACTCTAACATCTGTCCTGGCGACTGGACTATTGGCTCTTGGCAAAAAAGCTTCCCTTATTGAGCACGTATGAAAGAAGTGCATGATTCACCTGCTTTCCTCTATGGCTGATGCTTTGCCAGTTGGCCTTATTTGTCTTCACGTTCACCCGGCTAACATTCCCTGTACTAGAACTGCCTCTGTTCTCTTTCCAGGGGACAATACCCAGAGTGCTCCCCTGGATCAGAATGTAGCTGGGTAAGAAAAGTTATTTTTTAAGGATTTTTTCCCTACCTTATGGTTTAAGGAGAAAAAGATAATTCACAAAGGCCCAGTTCATTCAAGGAATTAGAACAAATCCCTAAAGCATTTCCTTAGACATTCTAAATCAAGTGCCTGGCTTTTAAAATGGGAACTTACAATCTCTGGAGGGAAAAAAAAAGTAAGTATGATTTATCACTCTAATCTTGCAGTATATGTAATGCAGGCAGTTCATTCCTGGGAATGAATAGTCCTGTTTGCCTCGAAGCAGACTATAAACGTTTGATTCGTCACCAGACAAGTGGATTTTTAATGGCCTGCGACCAACTAAAATAAGCACAAAAGTTACACCATGACAGACAGCGAGAGCTCATTCCTCACTCCCCCAGTAACATCCTCTGTTTCTCTGGAATTGTTTTCTTTCCACTTGATGGCTTCAGAATAATCTTCTAATAAATATACTGTGGGACCTGGACAAAGGGAAGTTGTTAAATTCTTGGTTCTCCTAGACAACCTCAAGAAGGACCCAATATACTGTATTTGCCGCAAAGTAAATGTGTCATCCCTGTCCTCAGCAGTGGATAGTATTTGTGACCACTCAGTGGAAGTTAAGGCACAACAGTGATGAAGCTTAGGCAGGCTCTGACATGGGGACTTGTTCTATCGCCTCTAGAAAAGGGCTCTCCTTGATGAACCCCTCCCCTCCTGCGCCAATGCCTGGCTGTTCAGTACTATTTACAGCTCCAGCCAGTGAGTCCAGCAGGTGAGTCTTACTCAGAGGATGGGAACTGGCAGATACACAAGAATTTGATTGTCTAAGCCATTCAAGGAGTAAGGATCTGGGCCCTGACCTGGACCCTGGAACAACCCAAGAATCACTTGGAAGCTGACTGAAATGAATATGAAACAGAACTGACCTTGGGAATGAGCCAGTGGGACTGCCAGAGACCAGCAGGAGACACATCAGGTGTGGGGGCTTGCTGGCTGTTGTGCCATGGGAGCAGCTGAGATGCTGAGTTTGACCCAAAGGCACCACATGTGGTGATGGGGTCTAACTGGGGCCTTAGGGAGTGCTCTCCTCTTAAGGGGCTTGGGGCAAAGCAGAAGGGAAGCTGATGTCACCCAGAGAAACCATGCTCAGATGACCATGCTTCCACCTGGGAGATGGCACAGCCTGACGAAGTGAAGAGCCCTGGAGGTGCCAGCATGGAGACAAGTGTGCCCGGCAGCCATGTGCCAGGAATGTCTGGGGCCTGGAAGCGTGGGCTGCATGACATGCAGACCAGGAGAGCTGTTTTCCTAATGCTCTGACACTTGAGTGGTCTGCCATGCTCATCTCACTCAGAATCAATCTCTAAGGCCCTTCAGAAATGCAGGCCCTCTATTCTGCAGTAGGGCTAGAAAACGCCACATTCTTTCCCTGAGATCTCTGTATCTCAGGCCAGGAGGGAAGGAGGGAAGCCTGTTCTGCAAGACAGGCTGGTGAGCACCACAGCATTAAAGCCATCGTAACAACCAGTTACTGTGTGTTTACAACTACAAGGCACGGTGGTATGTGTTGTGTGATTCTTCTTTCATTCTCAGATGTGTGCGAGCTTAATTGTCTGATCAAATCCAAGGAGTGTGAAACATCTCTTATGGGGAAAAGGACCTCATTATTCTTTTAGGAGTAAGGAATTAGAGGCATGAGATGTTTGCTTAAGGTCACTCAGTTGTTCAAGGTGACACAGGACTTACTTCAGCTCAACTGCCCCCCAAAATGAGGAACTGGTCAAGAGAAAGCTGCACCTTTCGTGAGGATCCAGGCTCACCTCACCCTCCACAGTTGCTCCAGTTACCAGGAAGGGGGTGGTTCCTGAATCAAGCGGGGACTATCAGGGCGTTGTCAGTCTCTGGCCATATAAATGAAGGGCTTTAGTTTGATTCTTCTGTCAGTGTTAATTTAGTGACTAAATACAACTTTTATTTGCAATTAGGCTACATAACAAGCCAGTTGTATTTGAGGCTCAACCTTTGTGGAAAATCACACTAGAGTTCTTTTGAGGATGGACAAAAGCCTGTTACCGCTTCCTCAAGTGTGGTCCCGGCATCAGCAGTACCACCTGATAGGTGGATAGAAAGCAAATTCTCCAAGCCCACCCACACCTGAGGAATCAGGACTTCCAGGGAAATGTTCACCAGCTCTGCAGTCACTCCAGAGCACAGCTCTAAAACACTGGGGAGTGGCACAAATGATTTGTTTTTCCCACAGGTAAACAGTGAACTAAATCATTTTCTTTAAAAAATAATTGTGGGTATTTCAGTGGTGGGTGTGGTGTGGTAACAACATTTGATATGGGGTGTCCTAGTCCCTAAATCATATACAGTGTTGTAAACCAGTGTTACCTCTGCTTAAAAAAATAAAATAAAATAAATGTTTTACCTCATTTCCAAATCTTCATTCTCTTGTGGTACAAATTTGTACAAGGCAACATAGGTGTTCATTTGTAATGGGTCTTTGGAAAGAGATCCCTGAAAGAGAAATACAGGAAAAAATGAAGAAAGGAAGGAGAAATGGAGAGAATGAAGAAGGCAGGCAATGAAGAAGTTAATGTCATGGAATTCCAGTGCAGATTCTGTATATGGATCCTATGTGTCACTGTGCCTCACTGTCAACAATTTTGTATTTCAACCATCGGTTTCAATTTTATTTCTTAGCTTACTGTATTTCACTACAAAGAGTAATGAGAAGAGTTATGGGAGAAATGGTAAGCGATACTACAGTTTTCTTTAAGTGCATTTATTCCTTGATATAGTTGGTCAGGAAGGTGAAATGGCTTTGATCCCAGTAGCAGGTATGTTCTCTCTCTAGAGAGCAGATTGTGGGCAGTAAGCAACTTCCATGTCCTAACATTTACTTTTTATCAGTGAGCCTAAAATTTGATACCTAACACATCAAAGTTACCAGGTATATCCATGTGGCAATTAGCTCATTCTTGTTGTGGTAAAAGTGTAGACATCAGATTGATTTTGTTTCTGTCATAACCCCAGCATCTACTGGCTATGAAACCCTGCAATCATGATGATAAAAGCTATCCTTTTTAGTAGATTTCTAAGTAGTAGGCATTATTTTATAGGCACTGATATTCTTGAAACTCTTAACAGTCCTGTGAAGAAGATTCTATTGTTGTCCCAAATATAGACACTGTAGGTGTCTTATAAGCGTTATATAAGTATTAGCTACTACTATTAACCAAATAAATGTTAATGCTTTATAAATGTGTATGCTTTATAATATATAATAAAATAATATAGATTCACTGTGTATATATCATATATAAATAGAATACAATTACATATAATATATAGCTATAATATAATTACATAATACATTTATATATAATAGTATACAATTAAATACTATGAGCATATAAATCTATGCACTGCCTAGAAAACATAAAAGTTGCACAGAACTGTATCCTTTTTACCAATGACTCATTCTGCTATCCCAATCTGAAGTAGATTATTGCATATATTACTCAATTCTATGTTATTCTAATTATCTATATACACATTCAAATATTTAAAACTTTTATATGAAAAATAATCATTTTAATTTATTTGACTCACTAGAGAGTGAATGTGGCATATATAAAGGAAACAAAAGTGTCCGACACAACACTCAGCCCTCACCTTGGATACTTGTTTTACTACCCCTTCCCTGGTCGCCTCTGTTATCTTATTCTATTCTTTTCTCTAAAACAAAGTTGATTTCATGACCCACATGGGTGGTGACCTGCATTAGGACCCAGAAGCCCCATCTGGTCTTTCTTCTGGGCCATCCATAAATACCTGGTGATTTATGGTCTTTGCTTGGTCTCTGAAGTCGTCTGTTCCATTTTCTGGGTATGTAAACACTGCAGGAGACGAGAGAGAAAGCAGGGGGTTATGAACGCAGGCTCCATGTTTTGGAAACAAGCGTGATAGGGGTAGCGCCCTGTACCATGGCTTCTCTCCGCTTCTCACTGCCATTTCCTCATCCTTGGTGACCTGCTTTCACGTAGTCTCCACGCAAGCCCCCGCCTCCAATGCAGCTTCTGCTCCACCTCTGCACCCACACCCCTGCACACGCTCCAGGCTAGGGCTCATCCTGTCCACATCGTTGGGAGACTGTGCTCAAGCCCAGTCTCGTCGGCAGTGCTCACTTCCTAGGAGCAGACGCCATCTCTCGTCTTGAGTGCAGCAAGACATTTGTGAAAAGGGTAGTGGGTGAGGCTGCCCAGCTAATTGTATTGACCGAAATACTTTTTCTCTACAGCAGATTTCTCTGTATTCAATGTATTGATTCTAGCCTCTTAATGACATCTGTATTCTATTTTGCAGACTAACACTTGGGTTTTCAATTTCCAAATACCTCCTTGATCTCTTATTGTCAATGCAAGGGGGCTATTACTCAGAATATTCAATGGTTCCTCATTGAATTTCTCCTTGGAATGTATAATGTTTTTTCTTTTACACTTAAGCAGCTACTCTGTGGTTTTTGATAACAAACAAAACTTCTCCAAATGGGCAGAGTTCACTGACCACAGACACAGCTCTGGAAGGTCTCTGATAGGTGAGGGGCTTTGCTTTAGGGTGCTTAGTCTGTTAACTCTGTCCTAGTGGCCAGCATCACAGTTTTATTGTTATCACGGGTATCTTCCTTAATGAAAAAAAAAAAAATGAGGCAATAATTCCAGGTTTACACAATGGGGTTCTGATATCACAACCTATCATTCAAATAACATACCAATTAATCTGCCAGTCAGATGGCCTGACATTCAAATAACATACTGCTGTTTTATTCTAACCTTCAGTTGCCTTTTAGTTAAGGAGATATCAGTAGAGGAACAAAATCATATTATGAAAAATTCTATAACCCATTTTAGCTCGTGTTGTGACAGTTTCCACTGTCTTTAAAATGGACTCAGCAATGGTGATGTTGAAAACCCACTGTGATTACGACCCCTGTGACTGTACCACTGTTTAGGAAACATCTGTTCTCCAGTTTGCAGTTCCAGGGATGCAATTTCATCACTCTAAGGAAAACATCATGCACTCATCACAAGAGCTCTGGTTTGTGGTTAAGTGGAAAATGAAGATCCTATTCTATGGATCTTATCTGTCTCAATGTTTGACCACTCCACTTACCAGCTTAAAGAGAGTAGAGACCAGTGATACTTTGGTATTGTGTGATTATTTGAAATCCTGATTGTAAACACTCGATTCTCTAAATATGAAACTGGATACTTGTATAAGAATATGAAATGAAACATGCCAAGAGTATCTATCTTCCTAGAAAATTCTTGGTTGAGTTGAATGAAAAGGGAGCAACATCACATCTAGTGCATATGTAATGCTCAGTTTGAATTGATTTTACAATTTTGTCATTTCACATTATTTTGGCTTTTTATTGAGCATCCATTAGCCATCTGGTTTGAAATGTGTGCTACTTTTGTGAATGATGCTGAACATTCTTTGAAATGACCCCAGTTAAATGGTTGAAAGAACTGGAATAGAGCAAAAAATGATTTAAAAAGTCCATTTCACTGACTATTTATAAGACTTCGATTTATGAGGAAAAGAATCAAGAAAGATAACTAGTTTACCAAAACATGATTGATGTTTTACCTTGTCTATTAAACTGATAAGTATTCAAAGAATATGGCCATTATGTAGCCACTGTTTTCCTAAAGTTACAGATGCAAAGGGAATCCTCAGTTTTTACCACACCCCCAGACGGCTTTCCCTCTTTTCTATATTCTGTGTTTTCTTTTGTACTTTGTAGTCCTGTAAGGTCTAACGAGACGATTATTTGGTTTTTCCTCTTTAAGCTGGTAATGTAGTGAGCTACATTACTAGCTTAACAATGACATAAATTTGTATCTATGGAATAAATGCAGTTCAATAGTTGTGCATAACTTTAAAAAATACACTACTAGATTCTATTTGCTAAGATTTTTACATCCAGGGTGGAGATTAGCCAGCATTTTTTTCCTTTTGTTTGGCTTTGAGGTCAGCATTATACTAGCCTTGTTAATTAAGTTAGTGAATGTTGCTACTGTTCCTTGTCACTTTTTGCTTTTTTGAAAGAGCTTACATAATTTGGAAATTTTCTTTTCCTATTCTTTCAGAAAACTGAAGATAACATTCTACTGTTATTTGCTCCCTATTGTCACTTAGTCTATTTTCATTTCTTTATAGGTAATCTTTTAGTCTACACGTTATCTTCAGTATTTAAAAATCTGAGGTTTTGCTACAATGAAAATTCAGCTTGAAGATTAGATTCTTTAATTAATTTTGAAAAATTCTTAATATCCTTTTGAATATTGCTTCTTACCACCTAGTTCTTTATATACTTCAGAAATGGCAGTTAGCTGTATCATGAACTTTCTCATTTAACTTTTATGTCTCTTTACTATCATGATCCTCCTTGCTTTTTCTCCTTGCAGTTTCTTTGGCTCTATAGTCCAGGGCACAATTTTTTTCTTCAACTATATCTAATATGCTATTCACTCTACCAATCAAATTACTTTTTTAAATTCTGGAAGTTCTATTTGGATTTTCTTAACAAATCCCTGTTCAATTTTGTTTCAATTTCTTGTCCTTTTGTTATATCTTATGGTCTTTAAAAAAAAGTTTATACATATACAAATATATAGTTTTTATTTGATAACTCCAACATATACAGTCTCTAAGAATCTGGTTATAAAAGCAATTAATTCAACCAACTCACTAATTTTCTTATGTGTTTTCTGAACTTTAATTCTCAGCTCAGGTTTTTTGAAAGTCATTTGTGGGAATTCTTGAGGTATGAGTAAATTATCTTCCTCCAGAGAGGATTTGCATTTGCTTCTGCCAAATGCCTGGTGATTTTTATCACACCTGGGCCCACTTTAAAATAAATTAAACTAAAATTTCATGCAGATGGCCAACAAGCATATGAAAAATGTTCAACATCACTTGTAATAAGGGAGATGCAAATTAAAACCACAATGAGATACCACCTCTCCCCAGTGAGAATGGCACATCTTCAAACAACTAACAACAACAAATGTTGGTGAGGATGTGGAGAAAAAGGAACTCTCCTGCACTGCTGGTGGGAATGCAAATTAGTACAACCACTAAGGAAAACTGTTTGGAGGTTCCTCAAACTACTAAACATGGAACTTCCATTTGATCCAGCAATCCCACTCCTAGGTATATACCCAAAAGACACAAAAACAGATTCAAAAAGACACCTGCACCCCCATGTTTATTGCTGCTTATTTACAATTAGACAGACATGGAAACAGCCAAAATGCACCAAAATAGATGACTGGATAAAAAAGATGTGGTACATATACACAATGGAATATTAGTCAGCAACCAAAAAAAAAAAAAACAAAAAAACAAAAACACATGCCTTTTGCAGCAACATGGATGGAGCTGGAAAATATCATGCTTAGTGAAATAAGCCAGAAAGAAAAGGGAAAATACTGGATAGTTTCACTCATAACAGGAGTATAAAGGACCAGAGCAGAAAATAATAATAATGAACAACTATATACCAGAGACATTTTATTGGGGTGGAATGGGGAATGGGATCAAAAACGGTGATGGGGGGTATGTGCACTGGACTATGGTGATGGAACATGGGTGATTTGGCAATGGGAAGCCCATGAGGATTACAACTGAGATGAAAAAAGGCACAAAACAATATAAAAATAAACTATTATACTGTTAAAAAAAGAACCTAGAAAAAAATTGATGCCAAATTGTATAATACACTACTTAGAAAAAATTAAACTAAAATTTCATATTATTTTATTTTGTCCCCATAAATGGTATACACTTATACCCTAAACCCAAGTAAGATATCTTTCTTCCCAACTACCCCCACTTTTATCTTCTCCTCACCTGAATTAAGGCCAGACAGCATTTTCCTTTACCTAATTCTTCTGCAGGGTCTTCACTTTTCCAAGTACCTCTAAGGATGCCTTTTGGGGTATCAGCACTCCCCACTCCCAAGTGTCAAAGAGATGCAGAAAAAGATTGGTGCCTCTGGACTCAAGCCTCATGGTCATTTCTAGACTCAAAGGAATTGCTTTAAATTGTTATCAGTTCAGTCATGCATCAAGTAGAGATTTCTTTTTAATTCTTTTTCCTAGTAGATTTAGGAGTGGGAAAATTTTCTCTAAGCCTCCTCAATCCTCCATATAGCTGGAAAGAGAATCTTTTGTGCTTTTAAAGAGACTTTTACCTGTCTAGAAACTAAGTGTGTATTGCAAAACCACATCATCAATATTTGCCTTTGTAATTTGGGACTTGTCCACTGGAGGGGACCTGAGCCAAAGGCATCTGCCAAAAGAGCCATTAAATATTTTTTCCCCCTTTATTTGGAGTGACAACATAATATTTAAGATTATAGAATCAGAACCAGTACATGTTAAATTTTCCAAGTCTGAGACTGTCTTTTTCTTTCTAGGCAAGTTTCATTGTTTTACTGCAAAGTAAGGTAATATTGAGCCTTGTGTTATTCTCAAATGGATGTGATTAACCCAGTCCTTTCTGAAGAATATTTCCAAGAAGTTGTCTTGATTATGTCCTGTTCTAAGTTTTAATTACATATACTCATATTAAAATACAATTTTAAAAGTCACCAGAAATAGCATTAGTTGGCCTTCTGAGTTGAAATTGGCAGCCTCGGTTTTAGTTTGCCCTTTACTCATTAACTTCCTTCAAGGGATGTCTCTACGCAGTTAAGCCAAAGATGAAGACCTAAAATTCTCTCCATCAATAGTTCTGATTCACTCAAGAGCAGTGCTGAAAACAGCAACCGGCCATGTCAGATCTACCCAAGATCTTTTATAAGAAAGGAAGCAGAGATTGCACTTGAAGCAGTTAAAAAAAAGTAGGAGTTGTACTGTCTTCAAAAGTGACTTTGAAAATATTCCTCAAGGAATTTGACACAACACCTGGCTGTTAGAAACAATTTCTGTGTGCACTGTGTAGTTTTTCGAACATGAATGAGACACGTGACACACAGCTGGCTGGGGTTGGCAGTGCAGACACTACTCCCAAAAAGCCTGTGCCCTCCTTGCTGTGGCTGTGAGGAGACCAGGAGCAGTTTTGGCCACATTAGAAGGGCTTTGTTTTCTCTATATTGTTTCTCAAACTGCATGGACAGGGGATGAAGTCCTATCAAAGGAAAACGTTTTGATGCAAACTGCTGTATAATTAACCCTCCTAGCTTTTAAGGCTGCATTGTAAAGAAAGCTATTGCTAATCAAAGCCAATAGTTAGTAGATCTCCAAATCTTTTTAGAGGTTTATTGCTTGCTGACTTCAACAGATTTCTTTGAATAAGGCTGTGAAATGCCTTTTAACATACAAGAGCCAGCAAATAATCAACTGTGTGTTTTTGAGTGTATTACTTTGTGCTTTATTTTCCTTTCTTCTTTGGGAGATGTTGTGTGTGTATATGTGTACTGTGAAGGGCCAGGATTGGTCTAAATAAACGTTAATCCTGCATCTCAGACTTTAACAAGCGTATGAGTCTAAGATTTATATGCACGTTCTGACTCTGCAGGCCTGAGGCAGCCTGAGGCTCTGCATTTCAAAAGGCTCTCAGGAATGACCAGGTTGCTCGCCCATGGGCCCCATTAGCAGCAGAAAGACTGTATGCTGCAACTCTGAAACTTTATGACCTTAGGATGATTTTATTGATATAACCAAGCATCATAGTGGTGAACCCTAACTATGGCTACTCACATTATAAATCCTACTATGGAATTTTTTTTTTTTTATAAAGAAATCCCAAATAAAAACCATAGCTGGGCCCTCCCTGGTGGCACAGCGGGTTAAAGCATAGAACTGAGAAGCTAAAGCCACTGCAGCATGAGTTCAATCCCCAGCCCTGGAGGTGACCACATGGCGTGGCAGACCTCTCCTGACCCGCCTGCTGCTCCCCTCAGTGGTGTACTTCATCGATCTGCCTCTTCTGCTCCCCACTGTGTCTCTGGTGAATCCTCTCACTGCCCCTGCTCCTCTGGCTTGTACCCCAGCTTTGTATGCATAAATAAATAAATCTTAAAAAAAAAAAACAAAATCATAGCCATTAAAGATGGGGTGAGAAGTGGCAGCAATAAAGCTATAGTAGGGAAGCTGAGGCAGAAAGGCAAACAGTGGGCATGATTTTGGAGAACAGAAGATGAGACTTGCTGGTAGTTAGTTGGGTGTGAGGTATGAGAAGGAGTCATCAAGGCTGTTGGCAAAAGTTTTGGCTTGATCAGTTCGTTGAATGGAATTCCTGTTTACTGAGCGGGGACAACTGGGTAGGAACTGATTTGGGTAGATGGGGGTGGGGAGGGGGTGGGGTCAAGAGTCAAGCATGCTGACTGGAAGATGCTCTCTTCCTGTTCAGCTGACCATATGCCATAGGCTATAGGTGTCTCGAGGTAAAGAAGCCTAATGCTGGAAGTGAAGCTTCACAGTATATTGAAAGGATAGTATTTAATTCATTACATTTACTCCCTTGTTTAAAGATCATGGCACCTTGGTGCTTTTATCTTCATTTTAGGGATGAAGCAAGTGGGCAGAAAGAGTCTAGGTTACGGCTTCAAGGTCACAAGATTGCTAATGGACATCTGGCTCTCTGTCTTCGGAGGGGCCAAGGACCAGATGTGTCCCAGTGAAGTTATATTGATGAGGCCATCAGAAATGCTAGTGTAAAGTGTCAGGGGAAGGATACAGGCAGGAGGCAAACTGAGGGACACAGTGGCTTCAACTTAAGATCTGAAGTTTTAAAATGCAGGTTTGGTTTATATGCCAGTCTCTGGAGAGCTCACTCCTCAGATGCTGAAGAACTCCAGAGTTGGGACCAAATTCACTTGTCAGACCCGCAAGGCTGGAGCCATGGGCTGGACTGGTCCTGCTGTGTTTCTGTCCACAGCGAGGCTCCTAGTAGCCAGCACTCTAGCAGCCTCTGGACCGTTGCTGCATTACAGAATGGCCGGTGAATGTGCGTCCCTCTGAAAGCCCAGCTTTACCACGTGAGGCTGAGGAGTATCCTAGCAGCACACATTAGCAGATCTGTGTGGGCTTGTTGAGGGGCGCTCTGGTGAACTTGGAGGCTTCTTTAGGAAGCCTCAGAGTCACGGAGGAGGCTGACTCATGCTGCCTGCTGGGACTCAGATGTGGGGCGGCACAGTCCTAACTAGAGAAGAGACAAATGGATTCCTGGAGCACAGGGGAGAGGAAGCGACACTTCATGAGACAGCTGTCAACAAGCAGCTACAGGGTATTGAATGCAGAACTTCTGCTTCCATTCTGGGAAAGCAGGGACAAGTTGTCAAGTGGAAAATCTATCCAAGGTGGCACTTCCCGGTACTTTACGTCAGGACCCGCAGGGGTAACTGGTGATTTGAGGATTCATTCAGCTCAAAGGAATGACAGGCAGAAAACAACCTTGCCTGATGATGAGTAACCTCAGTTTCCTGACCTTTGCACTTTTGCTGTTGATAGTAGATGCTTCCTAAGTACTTTTGGAATAAACTAGTGTTGATTAAGTATTTGTTGATGTCAAAGAGGCTTGGCAAGGTGCATCTTCTCTAAGGGGCTGGTTATGTTCCTTTCAGGTCTAGGTTAAGAAGCAATTCTTTCTTTTTTTTTTTTTAAGATTTATTTATTTATTCATATAGAACTGGGGTACAGGCCAGAGATGCAGAGGGTGAGAGGATTCACCAGAGACAGAGAGGGGAGCAGAACAGGCAGATCGACGAAGTACACTGCTGAGGGGAGCAGCGGGCGAATCAGGAGAGGTCTGCCACGCCATGTGGTCACCTCCGGGGCAGGCAGGAATCGAACTCATGCGGAAGTGGCTTAAGCTTCTTAGTGCTGTGCTTTAACCTGTTGTGCCACCAGGGAGGGCCGGCAATTCTTTCTTAAAGTTAGCTGAAGCAGCATGTAGTTAGCATTTAACAGATATTTTAGAAATGACTGTAACAAAGGATGATGGAATTAAAAAACTGTATTCATAAAAAAATGTTTGGCTAGGTTGTGCATATTAATTTCTGAGCCTCAATTATTGCTGCCAGGAAGGAGCCAGGTGAGAGGCCCACATCTTCTCCTGTCATTACCACCCTCCTGGTTCAGGTATAGCCTGGAGTAGCTTCTCTGTGGTAGTTTGCTAATAAGCTACTGTAGTCAATGGTGAGGTGTGTGTGGGAGGGGCAGGGTATACATTTAATAGAAAGGTCTAGAAGTGAGTCCTAACAAAGCCCAAATAAGTGAGTCCATAAGAATGAGACAGAACTCAGGGAATGTTATATGCGAGTCACTGAAACCCAGTCCTGACGTCCAGTTTTCCTTAGGAATATTAATCATGTGGCCAGAGAGAATCCAGAGCTAACAGAGAGAGATACGCGGTGCAGATGGCCTTCCCTACCTGCTCACCTGGAGACCAGTGCCCAGGGCAGTTTGCATTTGTGCTGGGCAAGGCTGGTTTCCCAACGCCCTCACTCACCGCTGTTGCTGCGTTTCCGTAGGTCGTACCCACATCCTGGCCCGTCTGTTTCTTCAGGAACCTCCACAAGATCTGATGTCTTAGAGAAAAGAGAAGAGAGTGTGAGGTGAGCAGTGTCCTTTCAGGGGAGCAAGTGAAGGGAGTTTTGATGTCAGTAGAACTGAGGTTGCATTTGTATGGTATTGTCTGAAGAATCCGCCATTTCTGTGTGGTGTATTTGGCTGACTTCCAAGAGGCAGCGTGTTCCCTCCTGGGCCCTGGCCCAACCCCAGGAGCCTGTGGTGACTCGGGGCTTGGAATAGGACAGATGCTCAGTGAGTGCTGAGTGCATGCCTAGGCACACAGATCCCAGGGAGGCTTCTTTCCAGAAGAAACATCAGAGAGCTTCAGAAATCCTGCCTAGTCACCTACCATTTTCAATAAAATGGCAGCTCTTTCTATAGGTGAGTTGAAAATATGAACCGCAGAACAAGATGCAGTGTGGGGAGATGTATGACTTAAACTTTATTCCTATTGCAGCAAAACTCAGTTGTCTTTGTCAGGCTTATTTTACTTTTTAAAATTTAAACTAAGGGAGTCATAGCCAAGTTAGAGCAATAACAGCAACCACTCTCTACACAGCTTGCCATTAATCATGTGCTGTTTCTAAGTACTTTATAGGTATCATCTCATTTCTTCTTCACAGCAATCTGAAGTCCAGAGAGAACAGTAACTCTACTCTGGGTCCTACAGTGGGTGGGAGAGCTGGGCTCCCTTCCCATATGTTGTCTCCTGCTTGGCAGCACCGTGCTGATTTTAGGGCTACACTGGGGGCTCATAGAGGCGATGAGGGCCTCTGAGCATCACCTGGCACCTTCAGAGCAGCCTAGATGGGAAAATTGACACCACAGAAGTCAGGGTCCAGGCCCAGCTGATGGTTAGACCTTCACCAATATACCGTTGATTTCCAAAAACCTCTTTCAAAGGACCAGATGCTTCTATCCATCTCATTCCAGTCTCGGAACTTGGGGGGCCTCTGGGGAAAGTCACATTTTTCAAACAGTTTAATTTATATTGTATCTGAGAGGAACAGATTAGTCCTCTTGACTCTCCTAGTCAGCTCCAGAGCACCTTAGCACCATTCTCCAGGGACTGATTTTAGTTAAAAACAATTTAGCTTTCAGATATTTTTCAGTGTCTCTAAGTCACTCATAGCCTGCTTCTTTCAAGCTTGCTCTTTCTGAACAAAAGTTGCTATTATTATGTTAATTTAATTTTTATGAAATTGAAAAATATTCATAAACTAGCCAACCAATTCCCAGAAATTTTTTTTGAATTTCGATCTGCCAACCTCCCCAAAGCAAGTCTTCCATGTTCTAAAACAGCCAAAAGCACATTAAGGAAACAAAATGATTTAGAAATCGTGCAGCCACTTCCTGGCAAGGTAAAGCAAATGAGTCTGCAACCAGAGGGACCAGACTTTGCTGTGGGCAGGTGGAAGCTTTCGCTTTAGGACACAACGAGACTGAAAGAATGGCACGCAGCTAGAGTTCATTACCACTTGACCCTACAGGAAGAAAGCGCAATCATTTTCAAACATGAATTGTTTCTATTTTCCTCAAGTTGGACTCTGGGGAAAGAGTGAAATGACAGATACTTAAGAGCAATTTGCTTTGCCTTTGTCTTCCTGCAGCTCTCAGAATAATCTCTTCAGAGAGCAAAATTCCAACAAGAGTCCAAGAACTACTTACGATGAGACCAGTGTTAGGAAGCACAGAATATGAAGAACGCAAATCTTACTGACATCAAAATAACGCTTTTTTAGTCCTAAAACCAGTCTGTAGAGTCCCAACTTTGCTAGAAGCAAAGCTGCTTTAGACATGAAGACAAACTGGACATTCTTAAATTGTCTGGTGATCTTGCTGCTTGGCCTCAAAAATGTGGAGGACAAAACACATTCATTGCCCACAATGGAAGATTTCTGAGCGCCTCCTGTCGTGAGTTCAAGCTGAGTACTGAGAAGCAGCCATTCAGTGAAATACAGACAGGTCAGGGCCATCTTCCAGCAGCTTCCTTTCTGCTCCTGCCTCTCTGAGCTAACTTCCTCCTGCCCTTCCACACGTGCTGTTCTCACAGCCGTGGGAGATGCTTGTGCTGGGCATGGAGAGCAGATCTAGTGGCTCTCACCAGAGACGTGAGAAACATCCATTCAGTATAGAGGTCAATGAGGACAAAGGTCTCTCTGTGTTTGCGTTTTTATTTTGGCTTTCTGGGTGCCATCCCTCCCCACCCCCAAAGCCTTGACTTTCAATGGGGAAGGATGCACACTTTGGGAGAAGTAATTCTGGAGGAAGCAACAATGGCCATCCTCACTCCCTGGAGGAAGGAGATGTAACTTGGTATGTGGAGATGGGAACATGGCCAGGATTCTTGAATCTCTGTTCCAAAGCTCAAGACTAGCCTGGAGATATTGTTACGAGTAGACTCAAAAGGAAATGGGTAATACAATTCTTCCTTTATGATCTGGGTGAGACAGAGGAATGGGTACTGTTGATATATCCTGGGTTCTGAATTGAAGGACCTCATCACCAATGAAGTTTAGTTTGCACATTTTGCTTTTGTGTTTCTACTGGTCTTGCAGAGGTGAGGACTGGCCATATCTCAGGGAGTCACAAGCTTAGAGGCAGAGGAATGTGAAAGCTGTTACCAAGGAGAGCATGTAGCACAAGAAGACAAAGCCAAAGCAACCCTGGGAGTAACATGAGGATACGTCAGGTGACATGTTGACAGAACAGACTGGATCTCTCTAGTGAGTAGAGGGTTTCCTGCAGCGCCTGTAAGAGTCAGCCGCTAGGAGAGGGCCCTGCTTAAGGGCAGTTCTGGGAATGCGCTTCTCAGATAACACACCTGCCTGTCTCCTGGTGCACCCTTGTTTCACTTCATAACAACTGGAGTTCAGAGAAACTCAGTCAAGGCCTCGATGTTTCATGAAAACATGACATCGATGACTTTCATTTCCTGATTACACTATTATACTCTCCAGTCCATACAGCCATAGCACATTTGCATATGAGATAAATCCTGTCTGCACGCATTTTGCATTTTCATCACATTAGCAGAATTTCTATCCTCCTTTCAGTGACTGAATTAACATGATCACTGGGATGGACAGTCTGATCTGTACCCTCTTCAGGGAATTCTTCAGGTATCAAAATGTCACAAATGACACCCTCACTGCTATGAAGCAATTTCTACTAAAGCCAAACATTTCAGTTTTTACTATGACCCCTTCGCACTCATATGACATAGCTATTGTAACACTCTTATAACATATATGATATGTTCTTAATATAACTAGCATATGCGATATAAAGTGTATTCTTTATAACAATGCTAAACAATGCCACCATCAGCAGCCTACCTACTCCCCTATGAGACTTACATACTTCCCCCAATCTCATTTACCTGTGCTCTGACCAGGCCCAATGAGGGATTGCTTGAGCTTAGCCCCTGAGAGCTCTTCCAGTGGGCATACCCTACCCTTTTCCTTCACCCAAACCATGTGATATTGACAGCACCCAGTAGGGAAGTCGATTTGGAGGCTTATCTGTGTCTTGTCTAGAAGTTCCCAGTCCAGCAAAAGCTGAGATGATAACCAGTAACAGGGTGTGAACTGCCACGGTGGGCAACATCAACCGGAAAGTCCTCACCTGTTTGTAGGGGGGAGGGTGGCCTTCAGCCTGAGTGACAGACTTGTGTGGATCTAGGGGCCTTCATAGATATTCTGGTTAGGACAGCCTGAGCCAGATGGGAATAGGAGGTCAGAGATGCTAAAGCAGTCATTTTATATCATGTACAACTTAGGAGAGGTGCTTGGGAGGTTGAGTGTTCTATGGAGAGAGGCTCCTCTAAGGCACAGCTCAAGTGACTTTGGGGAGGGGAGTTTTTGTGTGAAACCAACTGGTGTGCTTTGTCTTAGGAAGGCTTGAGAAAATGTGAGAATAAGCTGTATCTTGATATGGGATGTAGCTGGAAGGAGAACTGAACAAAGTTGGGTCTTCCCTGCTGTGAGGAATCTTCTCTCTGCTGACTGGCTGTCATGTTGTTGGGTCTTGGTGGGGAGATGAGGAACAGAGCGTGTGGGGGGAGAGTCAAGGAGCAGAGGACCAACAGTATGAGCTCGGAGGAGGAAAGGAAGTTGTCCCTGAGCGCTGGTCACAGCAAGTTAAGCTTGAGCGGCCCAAAGAGTTGGGTTTTCCTCATGGGAGCTGCCTGCCCTCAAAATGGCGGATCCCTTCACGCCCCAGTGCCTGAGACCTGCTCTGTCCAGAAACCACCATGGATGAAACAAGGGAAGAGGACAATTACAGAGGTTCTGTGAGGTGAATCAGAGCCACTGCCAGAGCTGCCCTTCTTTGTTCTCTGGGCCAGGGAGGTGCCGAAGCGGAGGGTCTCGTAGACAGGGTCCACCTTATTGCCACAGGCTGCAACAGAAGAGAAAGCTCATCTGAGTGAAAGGTTTCCTCAACTCCTGTCAGGAATGAAGTCAATCACCCATCACAGCTTCTGGCTGACAGCCCCCAAGAAACAGGTTCTACACAGCAGCCCCACAAACCCCAGGGAAATGGAGCTTTTTGTGATCACACTTTCCTCCTCCACACACTCCCACTTGCCAGGTACCCCCAGGCTCCCAGCACGTAAATCAGAATGCATTGCTCCCAAAAGCTTCCTGATGGGTTAGTTTTTGTCTTTGGTCAACTAGCCCCAGGAATCCGAGGCCAGGGTTCTTCTCCTGACCAGCTTTCCTTCCTCTAGTGTGAGGCTAAGTACCTGCTCACTAAGGTATGAAACCTGGAGGCAAAGCATTTGTAGTAGAGTAAGTGTTTTTGAAAAAAATCTGACATTAGGCTTTGCAAACTTCCAATTAAAAGCTTTCTGGTTTATAAATTTCTAGTTTAAAACTGGCCCTCCCCAAAGGCAGAAAATGTAGAAATTTTCAGAGTGAGAGAGAGAACAAAAAAATAGAAGTAAGCTGAAAGGTATTGTCAAAGAATAAACTCAGGTCAGAAATCTCTTAATAATATAAGATAAAAAAATAAAAAATAAGATGATATTTTTTTGGTCCTCATTAAAGAATAACCGATACTGTGTTCCTGCCAAACATTGGTCTATAATTCATATTGACTTTTGACAACAATTATGAAAAGCAGCCATTGCTGTTCTCATTTTATAGGATTTGACAGGTCAGGCCACACATTCAGACACACAGTTGGTTGACGGGAAAGCTGGGCTTTGAGCCAAGCATGTAGAATGTGATGCTTCAAGCTCTTTCCACTCAAACAAGCTGCTGATGGGTGGTTTGATATCAGCAGCCTTTGGAAGTTGGGTATTTTTCAAGCCTCTTCAGGGAGAGGATGAAAAATTCCTGGAGCATCTACTCTAGCTTTTATTTCCCTTCCAGTAAAACAGACAAATAATCATAATCAAGCAGCTACCATATAGATGCTTATATCTACCCCGCTGGTTTTGCAGCCCTAGGAAAACAGTCAGCATTGATGATGACACTGTTGCTCAAAATCCTTCTTAACCCATCAGTGTCCCAACTCACCAATGGGCATAACTTCTTTAATGCATCCAAACTGTTCATGAATGAGCAAGGGGGAGCTGTAGTAACGCCGAAACCCTTTTGGCTGGAGAGAGAATAAGAACAGAGCTTGATGTCACTCATGTGATGAAGAAAATCACAGAAGAGCTCTGAAACCCACTATTTTCTCCAGAGACACATTCCTGTCTCTTTTTGAATATGCCAACTTGTCCCATAATTTATGCTCATGGCCCTATCGTTTTCTGTCCTGCTTCTCCTTCTGAAGACCACAGTAGCCTCCCACATGTTAGTGATCCTCATTTCCTTTCATGCATTATTTCTTACATGCATTATTTCACCACAGTTTAATATTGTGGCTTATTAAACTCATGACAGGCCTGGACAGGGGAAAGATCTCAGAGGCAGGCCTAAAGACTCTTGCATTCCTGATGAGCTCTATTCCAGAATCCTTTGAATTTTGTTCTAGATTCTGTTCTGTTTTTCTGACCTCTCACTCATGGTCTTTGCTGTGGCTTGTGGGAGTCAGAAGGGGCAAGGGCTATCCCATCTTTCTTGCCTTAACCATAAGCTACCATATAGATGGTGTAGATTTTTATTATTCTCTTCTCTTTTGAGAAAGTGGTTAATCTCTCTCCCATTGTATTACTCACTGAAACTTCCAAACCACTAAGTATTATCAGGGTAACCCACCACTCTAGTTTTCCTGGGGCTGACAGGATTTCTGGGATGCTTGCCTTTTGCTTTTGCAGCTTATATAGTCAGTCCCTGTATAGGGAACTTCCACTGTAAAATCAAGAAAGCCAAACCCATAAGTTGGTCATCCTAATAAGGACACTGGGTCATTTTCATATGTGGGACATTCATTGCTTAGTTGGCCAAGCTTCTCCTCTGCTCCATCATACTGTCGACTAGAAAGTCAAGCTGACTGGCCAGGGATTTCAGGGCTACCTTCCTGGAGTCCAGCTCTCAGGATGCCATAAGGAAGGAGATTTGATGGAGTTATCACATCTCAGAAAGAAAATGTCCTGTGCAGGGGTTCCTGGGCCTCTCCTGGCATCAGCTCTTACCAGTTTGCCCATGCACCGCTGGGGTGCCAGGCCATCCATGCACTTGTGGTGGATGCTCATTTTACAGGCTTTGCAGCGCAGCCCATGCTTAGCAGTTGTTCCTGACAGACACACAATAAGTTTTGGTTAATAAAAAACCTATATTAAATCACTGAAATAGTTACTTCCATGACTTGGGTAATTCCTTTCCATGACTTTTGCATGATTAAAGAAATACTTATTTATTTATGCATATAAGAACTGGGGTGTAGGCCAGAGGTGTGGGGATGAGAGGATTCACCAGAGAAAGAGTGGGGAGCAGAACAGACAGAGCTGCCGAAAGACACTGCTGAGGGGAGCAGTGGGTGTGACAGGCGAGGTCTGCTGGGCCATATGGTAGGATCCCTGGCCAGAGATGGAACTCGTGCTGCAGTGGCTGGCAATAGCTTGATGGCGCTGGGACTTTAACCCCTCTATCATCAGGGAGGCCCCTGCATGCTGTTTTTCAAAATGGACAAAAATGTTATGGTAGATTCCCCCACAGTCCCATATTTTCTACCTAAGGTATGAGATTTAGTTTCCCTCAGTCTTATTCATTACTCCAAGAAAAACTTCAGCCTCTTTATATTCTTTGTGCTCTCAATTCAAGGCAGTAAATTCTTTCTTTGTTCTCCATGTCCTGCATGTATTTCTGTATATCTGTTTGATATGTTGTACTCAGTGCAAATCCTGGATTTTACCCATTGTTACCTGAATCGTAACCACAATCTGACTTTTGAAAAAACTCCCAGGGGGATGCCCCAATAATGGGGGACATCACAGTCTGTGAGTAGGGATGATGCAAGTACAATGTCAGGGACAGGGTGCCCAGTCAGACACTAGCTCCTGCCTGGAGAAAGAGGATGAGCAGGGCCCTCCCTAATGGCACAATGGATTGGGGTGCAGTGCTATGAAGCTGGCCACAGCTGTTTCAGCATGAGTTAGGCCCCTGGCCAGGGAGGTGACCCACATGGCCCAGCAGACCTCTCCTGCCTCACCTGCAGCTCCCCTCAGCAGTGTCTTTCAGTAGATCTGTCTGTTCTGTTCCCCCCTCTGTCTCTAGTGAATCCTCTCACCCCCATACCTCCAGCCTGTACTCCAGTTCTGTGTGCATAGATAAATTTAAAAAAAAAAAATGTAAAGGATGAGCAGATGGAACGGCAGTGGAGCCATTGCTGCAGTGAGTCCTTGGCTTCCTAGGCTGCCTACCATGACGCAGTGAGAAGGAAGACAGAGGATAAAAGGGGGAAGAGGCTGGAGGGCACACAGGAGCACCCTTGCAACTTTCTGTCGCACCAGCCAAAGGCAGAAGCATGGAGGAGGCACTGGGGGGATGTATGGAGGGCAGCTGTGGGCAGCTTTACGATGAACCACTTTACAAAGATGGTTTTGTGAAATGAAGAAAATGTTAAAATAGGATGTTTTCTGTCTCCATTTAGTTAGGGACAAGAGAATGCAGGACCAGAGGTGCTGCGGCATACCAAGGTGTGTCCCCAAGAAGCCCTATAAAATAAGTGTCCACATGGGCCTTGCAGCTCTTAGATGACCAAGCATATCAATCATGTTAAATAAAGGAGGGGCAGGGTGGGAAATTAGAGGGAGGATTTCTTTATGGTGCTGAGTCACGATTGGTTCATGGCCACTCCTCCTCTGTGTCTAGGGAAGGCTGGGGATGAGTTCTTCTTTCTCGTTGTACTTAGAAGGGACTCAAGGAGGTTATTTTAAAAGCTTGGGTAGACTCTGTGACATACACAGCTGTGGTCACGCCCATGCTTGGGGAAGTATAAAGACGAGCGATGTGGGTGACCCGTAGTCCTGTCAGACTGCTGAGGAGAGATAGCCATGGAGGCAGAGCTGGCGTCCTGTGGGTGAGATGTGCCTCAGGTGGAATACTGCCTAAGCAGACCATCTGCAGAGGCCGCTGGATGCCCTAAATTACAGAGGAGGCCTGTGAATTAACATGACTATATATGATGAGACATGAGACCCCAGATCGCACACTGCAATCAGAGAGGAATACAGACACAAAAGGAGGATGTTCCAAGTTGATAGCTAAAACCCACCCTCTTCTCCACTATTGCATCTACATTCAAGCCATCCCTATTCCTTGTATGGACTAATTCTTACTTAAACTGTCTTTATCTGTTTTTGCATTTCTCCAATATGTGTATGGTTGGTGATCAGAGTAATATTTTAAATATTCCCCAAATACAGACAATGATATAAACAAACATTACCACAAAAACGGATCAAAAGACCTTCATCTCTGGTCAAGCTTTCTTGTTCATTATCCTTTAGCCACATAACTCCTTCAAGCCTTAAATCCACAAACTCTCAATCCCTCAGGGTCTTATGTATGCTACCCTAGATCTCTTGTCATGTCCTTTTCACAAACTTTCCCTGATTGTTGTCTTTCATAGCTTTTATCATAATTACTATCTATTTGAGAATTTGTGTTCATCTGCCTTTCCCTCTAGACTGTGAACTCATTGAGGCCAAGGACTCTGTCTCATCATTTGTACTGTATTCCTAGCTCTGTGCATGATGCTCAATCAGTGTGTGTTAAATAAAGAGACGAGAATTCTTTTAGAGTCACACATCTATTAAAACAGTAGTTATTGATTTTGGGATAATTCATGGAAGTTGATTCATTGATGGTGTAAAAATGAGATTCAAGAACTGACAAAAAGATGTGAAGAACATCTAGCTGTTATTTTATTTTATAAATGAGAAAGTTAAGGGTTCAAGCAGTACAATGATTTGCCCCAAGTCAGAGCCTAGTTTCATCCTGTCACTGCTTTAGCCAATCAATTTTTCTTCATTATTTGGCTTGTTCAACTTACATAAGATGCAGTTGGGAATAATTAAATGATGAAAGAAGGAGTATAAGAAACTGACATTGAGTTGGAGAAGGCAATAGGTAAACTTTTGACTAAAGACCTAGAAACCTTTCAGGAGGTATTACTCAAAAATATCCTCCAGGAAGGCATTATTTAACACAAAGTATGTTTGCTGTTATAACCAAAGAAAGTCAAAGTGACATATAAACACACCATAAATTATGGGCTATGTGTGCTGGATCATAAATACTAGTTAGAAAGTCTCTTTCTTTTTGAAAATAACCACTTAGCTGAAAGACTACAATGCTTTGAAAAGACTGCAGCTTGAAAGCAATCACTTATTTTTCATTTTCAAATTAGAGTATGCTCTTTGTGCCTTCTGTGAGAATGTAAGCAAAGCTTCAAAGAAGAAAGTTATTTCATTGTGTACTGACTCTAAAATAGCAGCATTATATTTTAAGGTATGTTTTCCTTCAGACCTGAATACCGTAACTTTGGTTTTTCCTTGTCTTTTCTAATATACTCCACTATTTTGTATGAGTCAGACCACCAACAATTATTTGGTTTTAGGTGTTCCATTTTCTGCTGTGGAATAACAAAAGTGATTGAAGAGGAAAACTTGTATTCCAAGGCTTCAGAGAATAGCCCAAAGGAATAAATCACATCACAGTAGTGGCACTAGTTTACTATAGCATGATATGTAGATGCTATGTCCTCACTTGTTATACTACTAGTAACCTCTATCACAAAGGCATTGATGAATATGATTTTATGCCTCAGTAGAATGGAAAAGCATGATTTGAAATTCAATTTGGTCACATGCTGTCTGTTTCAACAAGAAAATCACTAACATTGCTAGGACTCTCAGCTGTTTCATCATCCTTTGGAATACTTTTACCTACTCTGCAACAATAATAGTCACAGCATGTGCAAGGATGGTTTCATGTATTTACATTTTTAAAAAAGTTTAATTTACATTATTAACATCATTTTGTTCAATGCACGCTTTCTCCTCCCAGGTGCAGTCCCTGTAAAATTCCCACCACCAATTCATTCACGCTATAGTCCCTTGTGTAAAAATATATTCCCTCCCCTGGTTTTACCCTTTTCCCTCTGCTTCCTCTGCAGAGTGTATCTGATTAATAGTTGTCTATTAATTTTGTTTTTAAATTTATTATAATTATTTATTTATGGTCCTTTATTTGGTTACCCTACATTCCTCCTATGAGTGAAACTACCCAATAGTGTTCTTTTTCCTTCTGGCTTATTGCACTGAGCACAATCCCTTCCAGCTCCATTCATGTTGGTGTTAATGGCATATATTTTTTTATTGCCAAATAGTATTCCATTGTGTGTATATACCTCATCTTCTTGTTCTAGTCATCTATTTTTGGGCATTTAGGTTGTTTCCACATCTTACCTATTGTAAACTGTGCTATAATAAACATAGGAGAGCAGGCATCCCTGTTAAAGTAATGTTTTTTTTTGTATCATTTGGGTAGATTCCTAGAAGTGGGATTGTTGGGTCATATGGAATCTCCATTTTTAGTAGTCTGAGAGCTACCACACAGCTTTCCATAATGGTTAGACCAGTTTTGTGCTTGTATTCTTGGAAACATAAAGATGTTTCAGAGATTTTGAGTACCCATGGTCAGTCTTCTACTTACTGAAACCAAAACTGAACTAAGATTATGGTCTAAGACAAATATATATATATATATATACCCAAATAATAAGGTTACTGGGAGGAACAAGAAAGTAGGATAGACTTTAACATTTTTTTTTGAAGATAGAAAACAACTATAGGTTTTGTAAGAAATTTAACAAAGATTGTTTTCCCAATAGCATCTTGGAAACTAGGTCATAATATCATGGTGTTTCCAAAACTGTGGTATTTCAAAACTCTGACAGAAAATAATTTCCAACCCAGGATTTTATACCCAGCAAGTTAACTAGAAGTATCAAGGCTGGATAAACATGTATTCATATTTTCCAGGTTTTAGAAAGATTACTTTCCACATACCCTTAGAAATCTCCTGAAGAATGTATCTTTGAAAGGGAAGGAAATAAATGAAGAAAAAAAAATTAGTAAATCCAGTGTATAATGGAAGTAACTAATACTGAAGAAAGGTAACCAACACAGAGGAAAGGTAAGTCTCACAACTCTGCATAGTGTCAGATAGGAGCTGCAAGATAAAGTAAGGCAGTAAACTTGGAAAGAGAATAAAGCGTAAAAGTTCATT